TTTTCCATATTGATTATATTCTTCTTCCAACAGTATTCTGGATATCTGACTTTTCTAGTTCTAGAGAGTTTCTTTGTTGCGGTTGGTGTGTCGCAGATTCCTTGTCTTCGTTCACGGGTTCAAGAATAATTATGCTTAACTTTTCCTTTTAAGTTCAGGGGTATTACAAGTCACGTTTGTACAGTAAGTAGAACGTATCACAGGGCGGTTTGTTGTACAGATTAATTGTTCATCACGCTCAGTATTCAACGCTACGTACGCATGTTATTATTTTTCGTTGACCCTCTTTCTCCTCCCTCGCACCGCTCCAAAGGACCCCAGTGTGTGTTTCTGTTAAATACGTAAGCAGCATAGCAAAAAAAAGTCCGTGTTCATGAAGGGTTAGGAGAGGAGAGGTCAATGAGTGTGTGGAGAGAGGATGACCGCGAAAATGACCATACTGCCCAAAGTAATTGATAGATTCAATGCTATTCCCATCAAGCTACCATTGGCTTTCTTCACAGAATTAGAAAAAACTACTGTCAGTTTCATATGGAACCAAAAAGAGCGCATATAGCCGAGACAATCCTACGCAAAACACAAGGTAGTTGATATCACGGTACCTGACTTCAAACTATGCTACAAGGCTACAATAACGAAAGCAGCATGATACTGGTCTCAAAACATATGTATAGACCAATGGAACAGAACAGAATCGTCAGAAATGACACGTCACATATGCAACTATCTGATCTTCAACAAACCTGACAAAAACTAGCAATGGGGAATGGATTCCCTATTTAAGAAATGGTGCTGGGAAAACTGTTTAGCCATATGCAGAAAACTGAAACCGGATCCCTTCCTTACATCTTATACAAAAATTAACTCAAGAAGTATTAAAGACATACACATAAGACAGAAAACCAGAAAAACCATAGAAGAAAACCAAGGCAATACCATTCAGCACATAGGCATGGGCAAAGACTTCATGACTCAAACACCAAAAGCAACTGCAACACAAGCTAAAATTGACAAATGGAATCTAATTAAACCAAAGAGCTTTTCTGGGCATTTATCTGCTAAAGTTTTGGCTGTCTCCAAAGCGTCTCAGAAGTTGACGTTATCATTCTAAGTGATGTAACTTAGGAATGGAAAGCCAAATATCATATGTTCTCAGTCATAAATGGGTGCTAATCTATGAGGATGCAAAGGCATAAGAATGACACAATGGACTTTGGGAACTTAGAGGGAAATGCTGAGAAGGGGGTGATAAAAAAAAGACTACAAATTGGGTGCAGTGTGTACCCCCCGGGGGGCGGGTGCACCAAAATCTCACAAATCGCCACTAAGGAACTTATTCATGTTACCAAACACCACCTGTTCCCCAACCTATGGAAGCAAAAAAGACAAGAAAAAAAGTAAAAAGAGAAGAAAAAAAAGAATATCACTGGGCATCCAATTTACAGTACTGACGCAGTATCTTTGGACTTCTTTTTTTTTCTAAGATTAAAATATCTTTAACGTGTATGCTCTTTTGTTCAGTTAATAATGTGAAAAGACTGCATTTATATGGTGAAATTCCCAGGACCCTCAATTCTTTATATTCTTTCATATTGTAATTACATTCTTTCACAATCCGTTTGATATCGCTTGTATTTCAAACCCATCTGGAAGAGCAGGAGTAGAGTCTAATGTATACAACACAGGGTCCTCTCATCCAAATGATCAAATGGCCTGCATGTGTATATATATAGATATAATCCTGTAAGATGTAAAGCCAAAAATGAAACTGATCAAACATTCTAATAAAGGGGCAGAGCAAGGAAAAATTCTTAAAGACCTGAAATAGGATGGATGATTCAAGAACTTGTGTTCATTCTGCTCATTTCTAGAAACCTCTGGTAGTTTTTGTGGCCAACTTTGTTTTAACCTCTCCATGATTATTAATAATAGAATACAATAAGACACCTGTATCCTACAACACCAAGACTTTTCTGACTACAGCCAGATCCAAAGAATATTGGACAATCTGTGTGGATCTGACCAGGATGAGGGCCAACTTTCAGTCAGTCATGAATTGCCAGGTTTGTGTTGTCTTCACACAACTCAAAGTTCCAAAGTAATAATCTGTATAAAATAAAATATTTAGCAAAATACTGTAGGCATAGTTATAAAAAAATCTACAGCCAACCTCTCGTTCCTTAGAATATGAATGTGTTTGGAAAACAGCCCTAAGAAGAGGTGATTAAGCCAAAATGAGGGAGTTTCAGTGGAAGTAAATCCAATAAGATGAGAACCCTTAGAAGAAGTGGAAATTCCTTATAAAAACTGGAAATTTGCACAGAGAGACACAGGAAGTACATAGGCACAGACGCAGCCCCATGGGAGGACCCAGCAAGAAAGCAGATATCTAGATGCCGAAGAGACAGGGCCCAGAAGAACTGAACGTGCTCACACCTTCCTTGTGGAACTTGAGCATCTAGAAATGTTGAAGAGTAATTTCTGTTGCTTAAGAATACTAGTATGTGATATTTTGTTTGGACAGATATAATGAAGAAATTCAGGGGGAGCAGGTTTTAGGAGGTAGAAATCAAGAGTCCTGCCTGGTCCATGATAAGTTTACATTATTTTAAATGGCAAGTGGATTTCTGCGGTCCTTGACTCGTGGACAAGTGCCTAAGCTCTTGTTGCAGTCCTGCTGCTTGCTTTGACCTCACCCTAAGTGACACTGTCTCCTTCAGTTCTTTGTTTACCTCTGTTCTGGTTGTCTCTGGTAGCTTGATACCTGATATTTACTCCTTCTTGATATGCTAATGTCTTTCATGCATTTCTGACATTGGAGAAGGTCAAGGAGTGACCGGAGTGACATTTGGAAGCATAACCTCTTGTCTTGCTGTGCTCAGCAGACGAGGAGAAGCTTGCCTCCAACCAGGACTGCAGCTTCCCCAGTGACTCACACAAGGAGTCACATCTGCCTGCCACTCCCCTCTGCTTCTACTCTCTTGGGTTTCTTCCCTACCTGATGGGCCACCATAAGCTACCTAGGCCAGACTGCTCATAAGCAGCTTCTCTTTCTAAATAATATTTGGTGAAACCAGAGAAAATCATTCGGTAACATCAGGACACCAGGTTGGTCAAAGCACTCTGTGTCTCTCTTGAAGCATGTGAATGTCAGTTACAAATGTTACACTTTCCATGTAGCTAGAGAATATTTGGCCACTGGTATTATATCCCATCTTCAGAAAACATTTCTATATATGCTAGGAGAAAAACAAGACATCAATCTGCCTAGTCAGCTGGGAAAGTCTAAGTTACTTCTAGTAGAGCTTATTGTATTAGAATGCCTACCTATATGCAGTGTGGGTTGTTAAAAAGTTGATGGCATATTCTATTAAGCAATGCCATGAATAGATTCCAAACTTTTTGGCAGCAAAATGAAATCAGGATGTTTTGCTATAACATGTCTGAACAGAAGCTAGTCTGAGACATCAAGAGAAATAAGAGAGCAGTTTCAAAAGAGCCCCTAGATGAGCAACATGAATTCATATAATATTAAAGTGAGTTCAAACATCAAGTTTACGGTGAAGCTTGTGTGGAAGAAGGTAAACACATTGATGGTGTCCAAAAAGTTGTCCTTCTTGGGACATGTTAAATTGACATTGGTTGAAGAAATCAGCAGTTCACAAATTCAATGAGGAGTTCCTTATTTCAAGAAGGAATGAGGCAATGTTGAACCTAAAGCCTACAGTGACAGATGATTCCCATCATATTGTAAGGTATGCATTCATCTTCTTTATACCCTAAGAGAAGATGTGTGATGATTAGCAGCACACACAATAGCCAACACTGCAGACTTCTCAGTTGGTTCAGTTTGCATGATTCTAACTGAACGGTTAAATTTTAGTAAGCTTTTCACTGAATGGATGCCCAAACTGTGTCACCAAGATCAAGTACAGACAAGAGCAGAACTTTCCCTAAAAATATTAATACAAGCAATGAAGATCGTAACCCTTTCTTCAATGAGTTATAACTGGAGCTACCACGTGACTTTGCCAGTAAAACCCAGAAAACAAACACAATGAAAGCAACGGCCAAGAAGACGTGGAAAAGTCCAGGCAAAACCAAAGTGGATGAGGAGAGCACAAAGGTCATGGCCAGATTTTATTGGAAAGCTGAAGTCATTTTGCTGGTTGACTTTCTGGAGAATGACAATATCTGCTTATCGTGAGAATATTTTGAGAAAGTCAAAGTTTTAGTAGATGAATCACAGGGAAAGATTCAGCAGGATCCTTCCCCACGACCTTGCTCTGGCTCATTTCTCTTATCAAACAGGGCAATTATATGAGAGTTCTGATGGAAAATCATTAGGCTTCCACATTACTGAGAGGTGAAGCCAGCTGGACTTCCTGGGTTGAGTGGAGACTTGGATAGCTTTTCTGTCTAGATAGAGGATTGTAAATGCACCAATTAGTGCTCTGTGTCTAGATAAAGGATTGTATATGCACCAGTCAGCACTCTGTAAAAACGCAGCAATCAGCACTCTGTGTCTAGCTACAGGATTGCAAATGTACCAATCAGTGCTCTGTAAAATGGACCAATTAGAGGGATGTGGGTGGGGCCAAATAAAGGAATAAAAGCTGGCCACCCAGCAGAGGCAACCCACTTGGGTCCCCTTCTATGCGATGGAAGCTTTGTTCTTTGGCTCCTCACGATAAAAACACTGAGCTGCTGCTCAGTGTTTGTATCCACATTACTTTTATGATCTGTAACCTCATTGAGAGGGTCTGCAGCTTCATTCCTGAAGTCAGCGAGACCATGATCCCACTGGGAGGAAGAGATAGATAGATAGGTAACAGGAGGTTCCCTAGATAAGAGGAAGTAAATGGTTAAATATCTCCTAAAGCTGATCTTTGGGAAAAGTAAAGAAGAGACTGCAAGTCTGTTGAATCCATAGATGATGGAGACGCGTTTGAAAGGAGGTAGACCCTGGGGCTAGAAGCCAAGGTGGGGGGAAAAAAGCATTTCAGTTGCAGTAGTCATTTATTATTATTGTTGTTATTATTAGTATTATTATTTCTTTTTAGAGACAGGGACTTATTCTCTCACTTACGCTGGAGTACATTGGTGCAATCATGGCTCACTGCAGTCTTGAACTCCTGGGATCAAGCAATTCTTCCGGAGCACCCTCCGTATTAGATGGGACTACAGGTTCCAATCACTACGCAAGCCTGGTTTTGTAAATTTTGTTGTATACATGGGGAGGTCTCACTATACTGTTCAGGCTGATCTTGAATTCCTGATGTCAATAATCCTCCAAACTCAGCCTCCAAAAGTAGTGGGATTACAGTCCTGAGCCAGCATGCTGGGTGTATAGTCACTCTTTCTACCTCAGCCTCATTTTCCTGCATTCTGTAAATCCCCAGTCAGAAGACAGCAAGGCTGCCTGGCTACTCGGATAGCCTCTAAGAAGCAAATGTGAAACTTTGCAGTTCCTGTAGAGGAAAAGAAAAAAGAAGCACTTGAGTTCAATTGAGCTTTGAGCAAATGGGATACAAAAAATGAAAAGTTAGGAAGACGTTGTGGATAAGGCCCTTGGGACACATTCAGTGCACTTTTCTGTTGTTTTTAATTTTATAAGTGTGTATTATGTGAAATAGTTATACTTTTATCTCATAAGAGCCAAGGAGAATCATCCACATAGAAGCTCCAAGTAGAATAATGTCAGTGGGACTAACCCTTCTGCCAGTGGTGCCAGTGGGTGGATCATGATGTAGCCTGAGTGCCTCTGATCTTCAATGTCCAAAGCTTGCCTTATTGAACTTTTTGTGTATTGTAAACAGAGAAACCGCCTATGTGAGGCATAAAATAGAAAATTACTCAATATACTTTTTAAAACCATAAACAATTGACCAACTCTTAATGAAGGGTATAATCAAGACATGAAAACCTTGAAACAACTTAGTTATGGAAATCATGAGACTTTAAAGCAGCTCTTATAGCCATCCTTTGTGAGGTAAGTGTGCACACTCTCAAAATAAATGGGAAAAAACTTTCCAGCAGATAAAGGAACTATAGAAAATAATAAAATAGAAATTTTAGAACTGACATATATAATGTCTAAAATTTGAAAAATACCTTACAGACTGTGAAAAGTTTTCAGAAAGTAAATGATTGCAGTATGTGAAGACAAGAAAACTAAATTAGCCAAGGCAAATCCAAGAAGAGACATCTTATAAGAACTTAACCTGTTAACACCTTCATCATGGACTGTGAGCCTCCAAAACTGTGAGAAAATCAATTTCTCTTGTGCAACTTACACAGTGTATGGTATTTTTTTTAGGGCAGACCTAACAATAACAAACTACATCGGGGGGAGCAGTTTAGGACGCAGAAATCAAGAACCTTGTTTGGCACATGTTATGTCTGCACCCATATTAGAAGGCAAATGGACTGTTGAGTGCTTCAACTGACCAAAAGATGCCTGAGCTCCTGCTGCAGACCTGCTCTGCGCTTTGACCCACCCCCACTCACTGACAGGGCCTCTTTCCACTCTTCTGTCACCTCTGTTTTGTTTGTGTGTTGAGAGTTCATAGCTAATATTTATTCTTCCCTAATACACGAATCTCTTTCACTGACTGCTGACATTGGACAACATCAGAGGAAGGGCCTGAGCTGAGTGATATTTGACGGCAATGTCTGCTGTCTTCCTGTACTCACCAAGCCAATGGGGAGTCTTTCTTTCACCAGGACTACCACTTCTACAGCAACCTATGCAATGAGGCAAGTCTGCGAGGCACTCCCATTTGCTCCTTCCCTCTGATCTTCCTTTCCTACTTGAAGGTCTACCATAAGTCACTAGGCAGAACCATTCATCTCCAGTTTCCCTGTCCAATGAGTGTGTGTAGAAACCAATGACAGTCATCCCAATATCATAAGGGTACCTGCTAGGCCAAGCAATACCTTATGGCCCCCATGAGGCACATAAAGCCACACTACAACTGTTTCAATATTGCATAGCCAAAGAAGAATCGCTAACTGGTAATATATTTCCTCTTTAGCAAACATCCCTAGTATTGCAGAAGGGGTGAGGGAGGGAAGCAGCAATCTCCCTGATCACCGGCCAATGGCAGAGTAATCTGCAAACCTCATTGTATGAGGAAGGCTTCCAATAATATACGGCATCTTCAAATTGTTTGTGGAAAATACGTATTTTTAAAATTATGCACGAATATAAACTTTTTTTAAAAAAATACATTTGTACTAACTTGTTACATGTCTGAGCAGGATCTAGTTCAGTCACTAACAGGGTTGAGAAAGCAGTTTGAAAACAGCCTCTATCAGAGCAGCAAAAATTCTACTAATATTGTAGGAAGAACAAATATCAAGTTTAGGGTGAAGCTTGGGTGGAGGGATGGGGACATCATCTAATGGATGCATTAGGAGATATTTGTGTGCAAGTAAATCAGCCATTCAATAACGGATAACTCACTTTAAGAATCGATGAGATGATGGTGAAGGTAAACCTTGCAGCAGCAGACCGTACACATCAATTTATGGGCACAAATTTTATCTTCGTTTGGCCTAATCGAAGAGGCCTGACAATTTACAACAGAAACAAGAGCTAGCACAAGAAGAAGCTGAATTGGTTCAGATTACATAATTTTTTCTGATTGAAAAATTAAACTTGAGCAAACTATCCACTTGATGAGGGCCAAAACTGCTGTACTTAAGTCAGCCAGAGACAAGAACAGAACGTTGAATGAAAAAGTAAACAAGTAGGAAGGAGAAGAGAAAAAAAGATTCTAAGTATGTATATGAAGAGTTGTAACAGGAGATCAAACGTAGCTTTACCAGTACCCCTCGAAGGGAAAAACACAATCAAAGCAATGGCTACCAAGAGGTGGATGTGGTATAGTCTAAGTAAATGTGACAAAAGCAAATATGCCAACAGTGTTTATGGACGCTCAAGGTATGTTGGTTGTTAACTTTTGGGAGGGCCCGAGAATGATAAAATCGACTTATGAAAGAGTTTGGAATTTATAGAAAGTTAGTGAAATCTTTAGCAGATAAATGGATGGGATTGAATGCCTAGTGCTTTCCATCAAAAGTCTGGCAAATTGCCCCTGTTTCATGAGAGGAATGAGTAGGAGCATTATTGTGATGGACAAGGAGCCTGCTAAAGCCTTTCTGGGCATTCATCTGCTAAAGTTTTGCCTAACTTTCTCCAACGTCTCATAAGTCGATCTTATCGCTCCAAGTGAAGTAACCTAGGATTGGTAAACCAAACACCGTAGTTCTGACTCATGAATAGGAGCTAAACTACGAGGAAGCAAAGGAAAAGAACAACACAGTGGATTTTGGGAACTCAGGGGGAAATGGTCGGAAAGAGGTGAGGGGTAAAAGACTACAAATTGGGTGCAGTGTATATTGCCCTGATGATGGTTGCACCAAAATCTCACAAATCACCACTAAAGAACTTACACACGTAATGAAACACCACCTGTTCCCCAACCTATGTAAATACAACAGAAAGAAAAAAAGAAAATCACTAGGCATCCAACTTGCAGTAGTAATGCAGTATCTTTGGACTTCTTTTATTCTAATATTAAAATATCTTTAAAGTGTACTCTATTTTCTTCAGTTAATAATGTGAGAAGACTGCATGCATATGTTGACATTCTCAGGACCTTGAATTCTTTGTAGATAGGCTAAATTACTTGTATCATTACTTGCAAAACTTCTTGAATATGATGGAGCTTATGTTAAGAAATAAAGTTTATATTGTCTTCTTTCATACTGTAATAACATTCTTCCACAAACTTTTTGGAATCCCTTTGCATACTCAAACATTTCTGGAAGAGTAGGAATAGATTCTTATGTGTACAACACAGGATCCTCTTATCCAACTGATTGAGTGGCCTGTCTTTAGGATTTCTAGTCACAGCCCCACACACAAAACCTCTAACAAGGTCATCCTGAAGTTATCACTATCCATGAACAAAAACTGAATGACAGCACAAGATTTATTCAAGACCAGAAATGATAAGTGGCAGTTGTTGATATTGACACACCTACACTTTCCACGAAAAGGGTGAAAGGGTGGGCAGGAACTCCTTGATAGAACAGAAAAGGCAGCAGATGAAAAGATAGCTACCAACAAAAACTCAGTAAAAAGAACTTGGAAAAGGCAGTGTATTGATCCAAATTTTAAAAACAAAAATGAAAAGAAAGGGGTAAGAAGAATTATTGATGTTTACTTAGAAGATTAGATTTAAACAATTTTCCAAATTTTCATTAAAAAGAAGCCACATGTAAGATGAAAAATAAACAGAGGGAAATTTGATTTAGAACACAAAATGTCAATAAATACATATTAGAAAGAGAGTGGGTAGAATTTAGTTTCAGAATATTGCAAAAAAGGAAAAATTTTCTGTATGGAAGAACAAACTGGGAAACAGCACAGGTACTAAGAAATAGACCAATGCAATAAGCCTGAGGCTTTTATGTGGGTACCAGACTATCTTATTGCAGAATATGATTGTGGCCACTCATTATAAGTGGGAGTGGTTTGTTCCTGGAAGAATGACTGAATGTGGTGACTCATGCCTGCTATCCCAGGACTTTGGAAGAGTGAGGTGGGAGGATCCGTTGAGGCCAGGAGTTCAAGACCAGCTTGAGCAACAAAGTGAGGCTCCATTTCTTAAAAAAAAATTAAAATAAATTAAAAAAAAAATGGGCATGGTGGGTGTCATGAACCTGTAATTCAAGCAACTCAAGAGGCTGAAGCTGGGGGATTCCCCTGAGCACAGGAGCTCAACGATGCTGTAAGCCATGACCACGACACCACACTCCAGCCTGGGTGACAGAGCAAGAGTCTGTATTAAAAAAAATTTCCTGAAAGATGTATAGCCCAAACTGAATCTGATCAAACATTCTAACAAAGGGGTAGAGCAAGGAAAAATTTTTGAAAGCACGAAATAAGATGTCTCATTCAAGAACTGTGTATTCATTCTGTTGATTTCTAGAACCCCTTCATAGTTTTCGTGGCCAACTTTGTTTTAATCTCCCCATGAATATTAATAATAGAATGCATGAAGACACCTGCATCCTTCAACACCAAGACTTTTCAGACTAGAGCCAGATCCAAAGAATATTAGACAATCTGTGTGGGTCTGACCAGGCTGAGGGTCAATCTTCTGTCAGTCATGAATGGCTAGGTTTGTGTTGTCTTCACACAGCTCAAAGTTCCAAAGAAATAATCTCTATATAATCAAATATTTAGCAAAATATGATAGGCATGGGTATACAAAAATCCACAGCCAACCTCTTGTTCCTTAGAATGAGAAAGTGTTTAGAAAATAGCCCTAAGACGACGTGATCAAGCTAAAATGTGGGAGTTTCAGTGGGACTAAATCTAATAAGATTGCTTTTCTTATAAGAAGCAGAAATTCCTTATAAGAACTGGAAATTTGCACACAGAGAGACACAAGAA